GGGTACAAGTATGAAACACAAAAGTGTTGTGCCCTCTAAGAACTACCCCACTACAGCCTAAACAGACTATAGCATATATAAGTTTGACACACCCCCATAGGCAAAGTGGGGAAGAACAAGAGGTCACAAGACCAGTCAAGAAAGACAAGGCAAGCTCAGGGTGGATCACAAAGTCACCACGCAGTCTGAGCACAAGCAAATGGCCACAAGGCCAGTTCCCATGCAGAGTTATATGAAGGAGAACAAACAATACAGTGAACACAACCTTGCAAGTGGAAGCATGCAGGTATATGTATAAAGAGTGCAGCACAGGTAGAGTCAAGATGAAAGCAAGTGAGGCACAGTGGGTACAAGACCTAACACAGTACAGAAACGCTGATGATCACAAGGCTGAAGTGCCTTGGTGAAAACATCAGCAGTGTTGGCCTGAGAGGCCACGTAAGCAAGACGAAGCTGGCCACGCTGCTGCAACTCTCGAGCAAGGAAGTAGCGCAGAGCAATGTGCTTCGTTCTGTGCTCCAGTCTGTGCTCGTGACAAAAGGCCAGCATGGCCTTGTTGTCGACGTACAGAACTGGAGGAGAACGAGGCGCCTCTCCCAAGTCGGTCAGCAGGTAGGTGAGCCAGCGTAGCTCCTGTGCAGCCATGGCCCCAGCGTAGATCTCAGCCTCACAACTGGAGCTGAGAACAGAAGAAGAGCGGGTAGACCGCCAAGAGACAGAACCGGAGCCAAGACTGAAGGTGTAACCCTGTGACGACCGCTGCGTAGCCAAGTCGTCAACCCAGGAGGCGTCAGCGTGACCAGTGAGGACAACTCGAGCCCGTCCTCCAAGCACTAGCCCCATGCCCGATGTACTGCACAAGTATCGCAACACCCTCTTCGAAGCATCCCAGTGCACCTTTCAGTGCCAGAAGGTCAGGTCGTGTGCATGTCATCAGGTACATGAGGCAGCCCACAAGCTCTGGATACGGGCCACTCGGCTCTACGGACTCGTCCGAAGGTGGAGCTGAGAGCGAGTGACCGGTAGGCAAAGGAGTGGACTGTGGCGAGGAGTACGTGAAGCCGAAGCGCTGAAGGACCTGCTGCACCATGTGTGACTGAGTCAAGGTAATGGTGCGATGTGCTCTGTCCCGGGTGTTCCGCAAGCCAAGATAGCTTGTCAGCTCACCCAGGTCTGTGCACGTGTGTCTCTTCTGCAGCTCGGACTTCACGTGGGCGAGTGCCTCTGTGTCAGCAGTAGCAAAGACGAGGTCGTCTACGTACACGAGAACATAGAACGGCGGCAGAGTAGTGTCAGTGCGTAAAAGCAGAGAAGGGTCAGAAGTGGAAGGAGCAAAACCAAGAGCAGCAAGAGTCGTCCTGAGTGTGTCGTGCCACTCACGGGGTGCTTGACGGAGACCGTAGACAGGCCGCCGGAGGCTCCACTGGGTACCAGCTGGAAACGACCCAGTGAAGCCAGGTGGGCGGCGCAGCCAGATCTCCTCCTGCAGGCTGCCCTGTAGGAAGGCTGTGCTGAAGTCAAGCGAGTGGAGCTCGTAGTCACGCTGAGCAGCTACGTGCAGCAGTACCCGAAGAGTGGTCATCTTCGGGGTAGGGGAGAAGGTCTGGAAGAAGTCAACTCCCTGTCGCTGATTAAAGCCACGTGCAATGTAACGCGCCTTGAAGACAGGCGGAGAACCCGGCGGCCGCTTCACCCTGAAGATCCACATGCCACTGACGATGTTAGCCCCAGGCTGGGGAACCTCGTCGACGTAGGTGCCTGTGGACTTCCAGGAAGCCATCTCGGCGTCCATGGCTGCCTGCCACTGAGAGGAGTAGGGACCCTCTATCGCCTATGCGTAAGAGCGCGGGGTCGGGATGTCTGGTGCATCCGGGTCACCCTCAGAGGCAATCAGCATGGACACGAGATGAGGTACAGAAGCGGCAAAGCACTCAAACTCCTCCTGTCTGTCCTCAAGAACGTCCGTGCCAAGAGCACACTCACCCTTGACGGACGGAGGACAGACAGACGCAGACGCAGACTCAGCAACAAGACTAGTAGCGTAGTCTAGGCGACAGGCTGCAGCAAAGTCAACAAGCTCAGTAACAAGAGCAGACGCAGCAGTGGACTCAAACAAAGGGTCAGTGACAGCAGTTGCCAGAAAATGCGAGACAGCTGGACTAGCAGCACGGAGGGAGTCAGACGCAGGGTCCGGACCGGCAGGAAGAGAGGACGCAGGAGGAGACGGCAGAGGGACACGCTGTGGAGCAGTGGAAGGACGCAGAGTCATATAGTGAGTGCCAGGGATAGGAGGAGGACGCGGACGCGAAACACGACCAGCGCGAACAGGACGGACAGGCGACACAGAACGAGACTCAGGCGACACAGGACGCGACTCAGGTCACGACGCTCCGTAAGACCTCTAGTCGGTCCAGAGTAAGGAGAAGGACCAGGCAGCGGAGAGGCCGGCTGCAACTGCGACTGGGACTGGACAGGCGGTGGACTCAGGAAAGGAGGAGGAGGACCAGGAGAAGGCTGAGAGCCAAGAACCTGCTGAAGGAGCGGAACGTAGTACGGCCGCGGCTGCGCAGCGCCTCCAGAAATAGCAGAGACAGGACCGGTTCCCTCAGCCCCAGGGTCTCCAGTCCAAGCAGCACCTCCAGCAGCTCCAGCACCAGGAGCACCTCCAGGACCAGCAGCACCGCCAGCAGCTCCAGCACCAACAGCACCTCTAGTAGCTCCAGCACCAGTAGCACCACCAGCAGCGCCAGCACCAGCAGTACCTCCAGAAGCTCCAGCAGCACCCCCAGCACCAGCAGCACCTCCAGCAGCTCCAGCGGCTCCAGCACCAGGAGCACCTCCAGCAGCTCCAGCACCAGTAGCACCACCAGCACTAGCAGCACCACCAGCAGCGCCAGCACCAGCAGTACCTCCAGAAGCTCCAGTAGCACCTCCAGCACCAGCAGCATCGCGACAGCGCCGAGAGTACCACTCACGAAGCTGCTGTGGAGAGAGAGGCTGCCGCCGCGACAGGACACCTAGAGCACCTCCAGACGCAGTACGCGCAGGCTCAGCACCTCCAAACACAGTACCCTCAGGCTCCACACGCCCAGGCTCAGCACCCCCAGACTCAGCACCCCCAGGCTCAGTACCCCCAGACTCAGCACCCGCAGACTCAGCACCCGTAGGCTCCACACGCTCAGGCTCAGCACCCCCAGTACCCGCACCCGCAGGCTCAGCACCCCTAGTAGCACCTGAGTCGACAGCTACCTCGACCGGCTCGGCAGGGTCTACCTGGGACACACCTGAGGGGGCAGGACCCTGGGGGGGGAGGGGGTCTACCGGGGGAGTACCTGGTGCTAGGAAGAGCGGCGGGGGGGGGGGGGGGGAGAGGCAGTGCGGTAGGGAAAGAGACGGTAGTATGACACCGACTCGTCAAACGTGACGTCCTGAGAGGACAGAACACGACGCGAGGTGGGGTGGTAGAACTGCCATCCGGGTGCGTAAGGAGGGAAGCCAAGGAAGACACAGGGAAAGGCACGGGAGGACAGCTTGTCTGCTATAGTATCGCGGACAAAAGCTCGAGATCCCCAGACACGGAACGCGGACGCATCGCCAACCTTCCCCGTCCACCGCAGAGTAGGTGTGGTCTCCGGCAAGGAGACACGAGGCTGAAGGTTGATCTGATGCGCAGCGTACTGAACCGCGAACGGCCACAGAAAATGGAGAGCAGCCGCATGAATCATGGACGTACGAGCGACGTCCATGACCATGCCAATGCGGCGTTCAGCAATCCCATTTTGCTGCGGGGAGGCCGGAAGCGTGAACGTCTGGCGGATGCCCTCCGAACGACAGAAGGCCCTCAGGAGGTCGGAGGAAAACTCCCCACCTCTGTCTGAGTGCAGACGCAGAACAGGAAGGTCGGAGCCGAAACTCTTAGTGAGCTGGCGATGAGCACCGCGGATCCAGTCGATCAACACCTCAGGGACCTCACCCTTGCTGCGCAAGGGAAAGACTGTGGTATAACGCGAGTAGTCGTCAACGACCAGCAGGAAGTAGCGCTCGTGACCCTGGCCACGGACGCGGGCTGGGCCCTACACGTCCATGTGAAGAGTCTGCAAAGGAGCCTCTGTCGGAGGGAACGAGGAGGAGTGAGGAGCGGCTCGCTGCCGGCCCTCAACACAGGGGACACAAGTTGGGGCAGGCCCCGGAGGAAGGGGAGGGAGGGACCTGGGGAGACCAGAGACAAGGGCATGGGAGGCCATACCTCGAAGACGAGGCAGGGAGGGGTGGCCAAGGCGGTGGTGGCATCCGCCAGTCGTTCACGGTTCCGGCCTCACCGCAGCAGAATGGAATTTCATAGCGTCGCATTGGCTTGGTCATGGAGGTTGCTCGCACCTCCATCGTCCATGCGGCTGCTCCCCATTTTCTGTGGCCATTTGCGATCCGATACACCGCTGAGCAGCTCAACCTTTGGCCCCGTGTCTCCCACCCAGAGACCTCCCCTACTCTGCGGTGGACGGGAGAGGTTGGTGATGCGTCGGTGTTTCGGGTCTGGGGTTCCCTTGCTCTTTTTCGCGATCTTCCCGCGGGCAAGCCCTCGTCAGGGGAAAAATAGCGGGGAGTCGGAGTGGTTTGGCGCGTCGCGACATTGGTAGTAGCGGTCCAATTTCGTCGAGCGCGGCCCGTCCGCCCTGGCAGGATTGGGGTTGGAATTTCACCCGTTCGATTGACATCGGACGGTCGCTGATCCGCCTGTGCTGCTTGCGTGGCCGAGAGCCCTACCCTCGCTACTCCTCTTCCCGCTGCCTCCCTTGTACTGCCTTCGTCCTCGATCCCCTCGTCTTCGCTTGGAGGGAGGGATTCTTCCCTATAAGATGGGTCCCTTAACTCGTCATCCTCATTAGTTGCCTCCAGAGCTGTTAAAGCCCTACGCCCCGCCGCTTGATACCCGTTTTCCGGACCTCCGCCTGTCCCGCTCGTAACCTGCCTCCTGGCCCCGCTGCCTCCCCGCTCTCCAGATGGTGATTGCTGGTGCATCTGAGCCATCGCCAGTGCGCGCTGCCGCCTGGTCGGCTGTGGTCGCCCAGCCTCAGTCGGGGCCCGGAAAGGCGACCATGCCGACGGAGCCCCCTGTACCGCCGGCTCCGACGCCCTCGACAGCAGTCGCTGAAAAGACTCTTCCCCACGCACCCGTGGATCCCCTTGCCGTGTCGGGGGCTGGCCTGTCTGTTCCTGCGGCTGCTCCGTCCGCTCCGCCGGCTGCTCCTGTTCCCCTGGCCCTCTTCGTCGAGCCGTTGGTGCCTGCTCCTGCTGGGGGTATTGCTGATCCCCCAGTTCTTGTCCCTGGCGCGCCCGTTGCACCACCTACTTCTGTCCCCGACGCGCCTGTACCGGCTTCTGTTCCGTCGACAAAAGCGGCGTCCGCCACCACTGGCGGCCCGGCTCCGTCGGTTGCGCCCTCAGCGGCGGGGCAATCCGCGCCTGCTGTGGCGCCGGTGGCCCTGGCAGGTCAGCCGTTACGTCTCCCGTCGCCTGACCGCCAACCGTCTCGCCCTCATTCCCCCTCGGCCCACCAGGATCGCAAGTCGTCTCGTCGCCGTCGTGATTCTCTGCGGCGATACCAGCAGCAGCCTCACTGGCCTGCTCGCCCCGGTGGTCAGGGGGACAAGAGGTGGTGGTGGGGGGTACCGCCCGCCGGTGACGATGGCAGATCTTCAGCCGGAAGTGTCGAGGGCGGTACGTGAGGAGAGGGCGTCGCAGAGCCAGAGCAGTTCGATGCGCGCCTCGCCGGCCCAAGAGGCTCCACGCCAGCCTGTGCTCCCGTCGAGTCCACCGCCTGTCGCTGCACCCCCTCCTCAGGTTCACATCCCAACGGCTCCTGCTCCTGCTGCGTCCGCGCCCGCCTCTGGAGCGCGTCTTCGCTTGCCGCCGGTTCCGCCTGTTGCGGGGGTGGAATTTGCGGCCGCTGGTGGCGGCGCGTTTGCGACGCAGTATTCGCATCCCGCTGATGAGGATCAGCCGCTCCTGTTCCTGGCGGAGGCGCTTCAGCCTCCGCAGAATCGTGTTCCGGAGGCGACACTCGGCCAACTCCATCGCCTCGCTGAGAGTCTTCACGCGCTGCTGCTGATTCAGGTGGTTGCACATTCGTCTCTCCCCGTAATCCCTCCTGAGTCATTCTGTGGCCGCCAGCGTGACACCTGCCTAGACGCGGCAGACCAGCTCGCGGTGCTCCTTGCGCCCGTGCTGGCTGCGCCCGCGGAGGGAGGCGCTGCTGCTGCGGGACAGCTTGACGAGGCTGTACGGGGCCTGAGGCGGCACTTGCGCGCTGGATCTGGAGCCGCGGCGATCGGCGCAAGCACGCTTGTGGTCCGGGAGCTGTGGCGCTCCCTGACGGGCGTTCTTCACGCCCTTGGAGCGCACCGCATGTAGGCGCGGGCTCCGGTTGCCCCATGGTCGCTTCACTTGTCTAGGCTGACGTAGGGAATGCCATCGCTTGTATGCCGTTGCTTATAGTCACTCTTGTGCGTGTTCCTTTACCGTTACCTCACGCGGCCGGCGCGAGGGAAAAATTCTGAACCCACCCAACAATGAGGAGAAGGGGCCAGGAAGGCCTCTTAAGTAGCTCACAGAGGAGAGGGCAGAGGGCAAAGGGAGAGGGCAGAGGCTAGGTGTCTCTCTCTCTCTCGCTCTCTCGAACGAGCGAAAAATTCTGAACCCACCCAACAATGAGGAGAAGGGGCCAGGAAGGCCTCTTAAGTAGCTCACAGAGGAGAGGGCAGAGGGCAAAGGGAGAGGGCAGAGGCTAGGTGTCTCTCTCTCTCTCTCTCTCTCTCTCTCTCTCTCTCTCTCTCTCTCTCTCTCTCTCTCTCTCTCTCTCTCAAGCAGTCATGTATTGATATGGGTCACAAAGGTACAGGCATGGCAAATGGTGGTAACTAGCGTGACTAAACATGGAAGCAGCCAGGAAAACAGAACTAACAAACAAACAAACCGAGCAAGCCCATCCAGCCAAAGCACACCGATCACCTAGCTCTCAAAGCAGCCCGGTCCACCGCAGCACAAGTCCCCGAGAACCCCACAATCCGCCTATCCCTTGTTCCTCCCATACCATAGGACCACCCCTTATCCTCCTTCACCCAGCAGCTTCCTCGCAACTTCCTTGAGACACCTTCCATTTTCCCTGCCCCCACTGAAGCCTCCCCAACTCTGTATTCCTCTTCCTGACCCTCACCACGCCCCTGTATCCCACCCCTGCTGCCCCCCAGCCGCCCCCCTGCCACCGAGTTCCTTCCTCCCCAGCCCTTTAAGCCGCTCTAGCTGGTGCCTGGCGTTCCTCATACTCGTCCACCTACATCTGCCAGAGGTCTCCCAGGCGGGGCGCCCAAGGGTCCGCTGCAGCCTGAGGGAATGCCGCTTCCGCTGCCCGGTTAGACTTGGAGAGGAGGGATGTCGCCTGGCTACGTTGGAGCATCACCGACCACCGCTGCCTGTAGTGTGCGTTGAGGCGGGCAGCGGTGGTGGTGAGGCGCCCCTGGCGGTACTTCTTCTTCGCCGCATAGGTAGCCAACATACGAAGGAACTGTTGAGTGTCAATCGCCAACGCCCCGTAGGTCTCAACCGCCAAGCCGAAGAAGCCCACATAGCCAGGCCGCCCCTCGTAGAGCCTGTGCTTGGCCTGCGATGCCTCCTCCGCTGCCCACCCCGGCGGCTTCCGCGCCCTCACGTCCCTCCTCTGCAGGACCGGGTCAGTCACCGTCACGTCCGTCGCCCAAGTCTCTCCCGACTCTTGGTCCCTGACGGCTAGGTCAGCACGCTTGTTCTGGACTGGGGGAGAGAAAGCGGTCGTCTCGTGAAAGGTTTTGTACCCGGCTTCCTGTGCCATGCGAAGAGCAGCGAAGGTCAGTGCATTGTGGGTGCGCACAGCATCCCCACCATCGGCACACCGTAGTAGGTGGTTGGGCAGACTCTTGTCAGCTATCTTGGAGTTGGACCGCTTGCAGGGGCAGACCTCCGCCACTGGTAGTTCCATGCCAAGGCGCAAGCCTAGTGCCATGGAGAACTGACCAGGGGATATTGAGAGGTCAGCCCTCGTGGGCACTGCATGGAGCCAGTCGCCTGCTCCCACTCCTTTCAGGCTGATGAGCCGAATGGCATGGCCCCGGTCCACCCCCGGCCTATCAGTTACCGTATCTGCCAGTAGCTCCTCCGCCCGCGTGTGATTGATGGCTTTGGAGAGCCCCAGCTGCAGGTTGCCCATACCCCTGGGGTTCTCTCTGTAGCTGTGTAGCACCGCCGCGGCCTGTGCTGGGAGCCTTGCCTCGAGCGGGGACAGCGGGTTCACCCGGGGGGGAGGTGGGGTCCATGTCGGGGAAAGAAGATCCCCGGCCCTGTGGAGTAGGTAGTCCGGCGGCAGGTTCAGCTGCTGCAGTAGAAGGTGCGCTGCTGCAGTTGAGGCTAGGTACGCGGCTGGGGCCTCGGAAATGGGATCAATGATTCCCAGGCCCCCCAGCCGAACCGGGAGCGTTGCCTGGCGCCACAACAGGCTTTGCTCTAGCTCACTCGGCGGGATCTGTAGCTTCGACGCCGTGAGACCTGCTCCCACCAATGCCTCGCTCCATTCCCCCCACTCCGTACGGGCCAGTGCCTCCGCCGGTGTTGTGCGAAGTAAGTACGAGATGCGGCGGGAAATGCTCCGCGATATCATGAGTAGGGCGTGCTGCGGATTGAGCTGGGCGACGAGGGGTAGCGGCGCAGCTGCCTCCGCAAGCGCCGCCCGGACCTGGTCGGTGCAGAAAGCATCGCTGCCAACCGGGCTGCCCAGCACCTTCAAACCACCTGGGTGGATGGGCAGGCCGTGTGGCAAGCCGTCCCCTCCTTCCTCCCGCACTGCGCACCATGCCGCAGACTTTGCCAGGTTGCACCGCAAACCACACGAAGCCAGCTCCGCAACGACCGTGTTGAAAGCGACGCACGCTGCTTCGCGGGGCCCCACGATTGTGATATCATCGGCATATGCCACTATTGCCACCTCCGGAACAGTTGAAGCCACGCCAAGCAGAATAGGCTGGATCGCCGCTGCAAAAAGAAGAGGTCCCAGCGGGTCCCCTTGGCGAACACCCCTGGAGCTTTGGATGTGCTCCACTTCCAGGCGGGGGTCCACTAAAAGCCGCGAGGGGCCATCGTAGAGGTTCCTAACGAGCGGGAGCAGCGGGTTGAGGCTAGACCACTGAAGGGCGGCTAGAAATGACGTGCGTTCTACGCTGTTGAAAGCGTTCTCCACATCTAGCTGTAGAGCTATGCGGGTCTCGTCATCTCGGAGTAGGGAGCGAACCGTGTGGATAATACAATCCGCGCCCCCAGGGACCGCTACGCCGAACTGAACGGGGAGGAAGAACTCTCGGATTTTCGGGCCTAAACTGTGTAGCGCCGCCTTTGCTACCACGAGTAGTAAAGCCTCGCCTATTGCGATCGGTCTAACTCCTCCCCGGGGCTTCTCTAATGCTATGAGCCGGGAGGGGAGTAGAAGATCGCGGACTTTTTGGCTCTGGAAGGAACTGGCGAGGCGAGTAACCACGTTTGCAAGGAGCAGAAGGATCTCCTCACTCGCTAGGGCTGGGTCTCTCAGGTGTTCGAAACAGCAGCCTGAAGGCCCCGCTCCCACCCCATTCGGGCACTTCGCGAGAATTTCGCAAAGAGCTTCTAGTGGGATTCTGAGCTCAGAGTCAGTGATCCCGGTAACCCAGGCTGGCGTTGGGGTGCAAGAGGACGGGTGTTTCGCTCTCAGGGCAGTCAACGTCGCCAAATTCGGTTCGGCGAGAGGGCTGGTGCGTAACGCTGCAACTGCTTTCGAAATGTTGCCTTTTTTAACCAAACCCTCTGCCCTCGTGCAAACCCCTTCGTCGTCATTTTGGTGTCTAAGCGGAGCACCTGTGTCGGGGATGGTGCAAGCAGCTTCGAACAACCCCTCCCAATCTCCTAACTGGAACTGATGCAGCCGAGCCTCAATTGATGCCCATCGGCTGCCCAGCAGGCACCAGGCCCGCCGCCGTCGCCGCTGCAGACGCAGCAGCAGCAGCAGCCTCAGGCACCATTGCAGCCGCCAAACTGGGTGTCGCAGCAGCCACCAGCTCAGTCCCCGATACGTCGTTTTCCTCTGCCCCTCCAGTCACAGCCGCCACGTCCCTCAATGCCCCACGTTCCACCGTCACCTCGCCTGCATGCTCCAGGCCCTCAGCCAGTACCAGCCCCTCCACCGTTCCATCAGGGCCTGTATGGCAGCCCCCCCCGTGCCGCGTCCGTGGGAGCCAGTGACGCCTCCCGCCGAGCCTCCTCCCCCTGCCGTGGTTCCTGGTGAGCCCCCAACTCGCGTCGAGCAGCGCGTGATGCACGTTGGGACGTGCATGACGCTCCTGTCGTACGTGCTCGACCAGCTTCACGTGACACTGGTGCAGCAGGAGGTGCGGATTGAGGCGATGCAGCAGGCGGAGCGGTCAGCGGCAGTGGCGGTAGCGGAGGAGTTGCAGCATTACCTCCCCCTGATTGGATTTGTGCCCGGTTCCCCTGGGGCCGCCCTCGGGCCCGGCCCTGGGGCGTTGGCACGGCTTGCTGATTCTGCCCGGGAGGATCCGCTCGACCTTGTAGCAGCAGTCGCGTCCGTCCTACGCTGGCTGGACGGGAGGCTGTGTTGGATCCTCGTTGAGTAGCAGAAGCCTTCCCCTTGCTAGCCCCCTTAGCAGCAGGTCTGGGTTTGGGCTTCCCCATGGCGGTGTTCTCACGCCCGGGGGTGTTGTTGTAGCCGTTGTTGTTCTATGCCTGCATGTTGTACTGCCCCATGTTGATATGCCAGGAGTTTTTTGCCTTGTCACCCCTCACGCGCGGCCGAAGGCCGCGCCGGCGAGCGGCGGCTGCCGAAGGCGGCCGGCGCGAGCCGCCGGTTTTTGGGGAGTAAACTGAACTCACCAGTGAAGAATGAGCTCAAAGGACTCCTCACTAGGTGCTTTATACTAGGAAAACAGCCCTGGAAACGACTAAGGACTAAGGACCAGGCTAGGCTAAGGGTGTAGGCTAAAAATGACTAAGAACTAGGACCCAGGGGTCTCTCTCTCTCTCTCTCTCTCTCTCTCTCTCTCTCTCTCTCTCTCGAACGAGCCACCGGTTTTTGGGGAGTAAACTGAACTCACCAGTGAAGAATGAGCTCAAAGGACTGTCAAACTTATATATGCTATAGTCTGTTTAGGCTGTAGTGGGGTAGTTCTTAGAGGGTACAACACTTTTGTGTTTCATACTTGTACCCACCTGCTGCCTAGTTCATTCATTCCTCTCATAATTCTCACATGGTATAGAGCTGGTTCGATTTGTTTTAGGGCCCACCACTACAGAATCTTTTTTTTCCTTACCTGCCCGAGGCGCGTGTCGCGTTTGTCCTAGCA